TAATTTTTTTATTTTTTTAATTATATACATATTAGTCAAATTATATGTTTATTTTTTTCTCTCTTGAATTGATATCAAATGTCATAGAATTGTCTTTCAAAAAAAAAAAAAAAAAGTCATGAGAATTGAAAAGAAAAACGTTTATTTTCTAAAAGATAATAATTTACCAGCTGAGCGGGGTTGGGGTTGGTTCACTAGACCAGACACATGGCCCAATTAAATATTGAAATGTTTCTCTGTATTTTTGTTTAAAAAAAATAAATAAAGAAAATGTAAAGAAAACGTTGGAGAAAATTTGAAGTTTTGATTGATTGAGACCCAACCCACCCGGACGAGGGAGGATAATAGAGATTCCAGACTTTCTCCGTTTTCTTTTCTTAAAGAAAGAAAAACCTGTCAACTCTTATTGGGCCACGTATATGGCTGATAACAAATCTGAAAGTTTTGATATTTAATTATCATTTAAGTTTAAATTTTTTTTAATTTAAGAGGTGGAAAGATTCAAACTTTCACTATTTTATTCAAAATTATATGCTTTAATTCAGATGAGTTACGTTGAGATTACTTTAATATAACTTTTTATTCTCTTCTATATTTTGATTTTTAATTACTTACAATTTAAACATTACATGCAGTAGCAATTTAGTAGATATTATTAATATTTCGTATCCGGAATATCTTTATTTGGTACTTTTAAAAAAATGCATATAATTTAAATAATAATATATTAATTTGCTTGGATACAGCATTATTTTATATAATGAATGTCTAACTATTTGCTATAAATGACTAGCTAATTTAGATAATAAATAAAATATACGGTTAGTTAAGTTATCCCACATTATTGTACGAATATATATATATATATATATATATATATAACGGCTGAACCCATAGGAATTCCTCCCTCCAAAGCAAACAACAGGCTTAAAATATATATCAAATTAAAGATTGATACAATTAAATAATTATTATTATTAGCCAACCTCAATACAATATAATAAGACATATAACCCAATCAAAAATAGTGTGAGTTCAAGTTCCTGACTAAAAAAAATCGATCATATATTAAATTGGATATAATCTTTTATTTTTAGTACAACAAGTGAGGTGAGAGATTCGAACTTATTACTTTTTAGTCAAGACAAATATGTCAATTATCACTATGCTAAGCTCATGTTGGCAAGTCTGATCCCTAATTGATTTAGGATATCCTAAAAGCACACAATTAACAAATACCTTGTTAGTTATAAAGACAATAAAGAGGAGTACCCCTTAGATCTTGTGCTCTAGGACAAATTAAACCTTGTTCTTCTGTCATATTCAATTTAGATGACGACACACCATTTGGAAGCTCCCAATCAAAGCAATGTACAAGTTGAGCTAGTATCAAACGTACCACAGTTAAACCCATTTGCACTCCAGGGCAACCTCTTCGACCAGATCCGAATGGAATCAATTGAAAATCTTTTCCTTTCACGTCTAGTTGGCTACCAATGAACCTTTCAGGAAAGAATTTTTCTGGGTCAATCCAAACATTCGGGTCTTGTCCAATTGCCCATGCATTCACTATTATGCGTGACTTTTTAGGAATATAGAAGTCATTGATGGTACAATCTTCAAGGGATTCGTGTGGAACTAATAATGGAATTGGGGGATGCAGTCTCAAAATCTCCTTAACGACCATGTCCAAGTATTTCAAATGACCCAAGTTGGTTTCTTCCACCCTTCTATCCAAACCCACAATTTCTCCTAATTCGTCTTGCACTTTCTTCATGACCTGTGGATGCTCGATGAGTTCAGATAGAGCCCATCCCATTATGGTGGCCGAAGTATCCATTGCAGTGAGCATATCCTAGTTGTAAAATAAGCAATTAATTCAAAACTTTGAGTAAAAGATAACATTACATGGCTAATTCTAGCTCTATTGACCATTAACACCTTCAAAGTGTAAGCATTAGGACATTTAGTGATCGCTTTCTATCTTCCTTGTTCTTTTATCTCTGGTCGCTTCTAACAAAACTAAAATTGTTAACAATTAGTTTATTGTTTATAGTTTYCTTTTTTTTTTYYTTKKTWAAAAAAARKWAAWWAAAAWTTTWAAWKRAAAARKWWTTTTTTTTCATTGAAGACTCAAGTTTTAATATTTTATTAGTTAAGAAAATACAAAATTTTATTTATGCAAAAAAAATTAGAAACACAAACATGAAACAAGAAATAAGATTCTTTTTTTTTTTAAATTTGTACACCATTTTAGAAACCTTTTTAAAAATGAGAATAAAAAAATGAATGGTTATCAAATACTTATATTTCTAAAAAATTGAAAATAAAAGAAATTAGAAATTGAAAACAAGAAACATSAATATTACCAGAATTATAGCTTTGATATTAGAGGGATCAAATTGGTGTTCAGTTTCTTGCGAGGCCATGAGGGCCAACATAACATCCACGAAATCCTTGGCCTTATCATCATGCTTAGACTCAAGATGTTCATCAATAACCTTCTCAAAGAACCCATCAAATACCTTACTAACAGATCTTGTGCGACGATTCAGTCCTTGAAGGTCAAGTGCTGCCACCCAAGGAATAAAATCCCCCAAGTTGGGAGCGGCCAGCAACTTCAAGGCCTCTTGTATGACACCCTTGAACCCCCTCTCATCAAACTCACTCTCTGCATATTTCTTTCCGAACATCATAAGACACGACATGTCAGCGCTAAGACACGAGACTTTGGAACTAAGGTTCACAACGACATGAGTTCTTGCTGCCCCTCGAAGATCCTCAATCAGCAACGCAAGCTCCTCCCTTCTCACTGATGCGAAAGAATTGACTTTGTGATTGCTAAGCAACTCGATAGTGCACATTTTGCGCATGTTGCGCCAATAAGACCCATATTCAGCGAACCCCAAGTTCTTTTGAGCGTAGGACATGTGGTTGGAAGCCAGAGTCAGTGGGCGGCTCGCAAAAATATGGTCATAAGTTTTGAGAAATAGGTGGGCGGCGTCAGGAGAAGAAACTATAATGGTGGGTTTAAGCCCCAATCGCATATGCATTATGGGCCCATATTTTTGAGATAGGCGATGGAGCTTTCTATAGGGAGTTTGCCCAAGAGATGAAGGCTACCAAAAATGGGAAACCCTTTTGGACCAGGAGGCAATTTCTTGTGTTTGTTGTGGCTACTTTTGAACAGCAATGTCCTGAAGAGAAGAGCAAGAGAAAGCAGTGTAATGAGGATCCCAATGGAAGCCATAAACACAGATTTTTTGGTGAGTGGAAATTTGTGAAGGGTGTGAGATGAAAATTTGGGGTCTTATAGTACTTTGTGAACCTGTAAGAAATGGACATGGGAAGCCATTGATATATAAAGACAATATAATAGTTGGACGAGGCAACATGAGCTATACTTAATTAATAAATGTATTTAATTTTAATAATTAAATTTAATAGTTTTTATTTTAAGAAAAAATTCAACGACTAGAGATCAACCAATTTTAGTTTAGAATGTTAATAGCGAGGTATCTTATCCACTTATGTTCAGAATTCAAATGGGCTGTTAAATAGATTAAATTTTATTGATATTAACCCAATTAATGAATATTAGTAATTCATTAATATATACATTGAATCATTTTTGTTGATAGAGTATATTAAATTGACGGAATTAATTAATGAATTAATAATAGGCTAAATTTCCTCAATTAAAAATAATAATTTTTCAATAATTATAGTTAAGTATTTAATGAAATGGTTAACTTATTATTTAAAATCAATTAATTTATATTAATTGCTTGTATTTAATAGCTAGGTATATCCACAGTGATCCTTAATCTTTTAAAATTTGTTATTTGATTTTTGATGCATTAAAAATTTTCTATGGGTTCCTTTGGTAAAAAGTATATTATAAAATTTATTAATAAAAAACTAATGTATTGTTCAATTATTGTTTTAATTATATATTTGAAAACGGAAACATGCCACTTGGATATCTCATATGAAAAAAATAATAGATTTTATTAATTGGTAAGTTGGGTTTTGCTTAATGAGCGAGTTGAGTTTCATTGACATCGAGAGTGATGTTCATATATCTATTTTTTTTTCCTGACAAAATCTCTACCTTAATATGTAAATAAAAGATATATTAATTTTTAGTTAACAAAATTTAACATTAGTGGATAATTTTTAATACATTATCGATTCAATTAAGAATTTTAAAAGAGTAAGGACCAAATTGAAAATTACTTCAAAGATTAGGCAAAATCTTTTTTATATATTTATACTTAGCCTAATTAATATTAGTTTGATCATCAGTTAATATTATGAGATTTCTAAGATAATTCTAAAAAAACAAGCACAAATATTATTTATTTCCACAAAATCTTGATGGGATTTCTTATTATCCAACATAATAATCTACATTTGGTTGTCAAGATGATTTGTAGGATATTAAATCCTAAGTAGGTGGCCAACATGATTTGAATTCATTTCTCGAAACCTATTGTTATTTACATTTGGACTTTATTGACCGCTAAGCTACACTATGATAGTTTATTTTTTAGATATCTATTATTCATAGATAATTCAATGAAACTTAAATCAAATGGTCCTAGAAACTTTGATTGAGTATTAATTAAATTAACTTATCTCATTATACCAAGAAAAAAGCAATTAAAAGAAAAGAATTAAATGAATCAAACCAAACATAACTTTTAATAAGAGTCACCAACAGCTCAACTAAAACTAAAAGGTTATAGTTCTCACCCTACATGTTGTTAAGAAATTTTTTTTTTAATTAGAGTCTAAAGAGGCAAAAAAAATAATAATAATAAAGAATTAAACTGATGTATATATTTATTCTATTTAAGAGCCATCAATTTTAAATCCAAACACTCGAACCACATCCAAATGACAACATGTTCATAACATAATAATAATAGAGTGGTATACAAAATAGAATTCGAACATAATTCAAGTAGATAAAGTACTTTAACATTATCCCGAAGTCCAATGTTTCGATCCACATAACGGTTGATCTTGGAAAAAATAAAAAAGGGAAAAAAATCTATCCAAATAATTTATTATACAAAATATGATCCTAATTGAAGGATCAGAAAACATACACATAATATACTTTATAAAGTCTACAGTCGAGCACTACGCATAAAAAATTCTTTATTTATTTCATTTGCTAACTCAACTTATCAATTATGAAGACGGTAAATTGGAGTTAACATGAGATCTTGAATTCTAGGACAGGTTAAACCAAAATTTTCTGTCATATCCAATTCGGCTAACAAAATATCATTTGGAAGTTTCCAGTCAAAGCAATGTACAAGCTCGGCTAGAACTAGACAAATCATAGTTAGACCCATTTGAATTCCAGGACAACCTCTTCGACCAGATCCAAACGGAATCAATTGAAAATTATCTTTTCCTTTCAAGTCTACTTGACTACCAATGAACCGTTCGGGAAAGAACTTTTGTGGATCATTCCAAACATTGGGGTCTTGTCCAATAGTCCATGCATTCACCATCATTCGTGACCCTTTAGGAATATGAAAACCATTGATAATACAATCTTTTAGGGACTCGTGTGGAACTAATAATGGAACTGGCGGATGCAATCTGAGAATCTCTTTAACAACCATATCGAAATATTCCAAGTGACCCAAGTCTGATTCTTCCACCCTCCTATTCAAACCAACCACTTTTTCTAATTCTTCTTGCATTTTTTTCATTGCCTCCGGATGTTTGATGAGCTCGGGTATTGCCCATTCGATAACAGTGGCTGAAGTATCCATTGCCGTAATAAGCATTTCCTAAAAATGGGTCAAGTTGATTATGGAACAAAGTTGCATAATATCGTGTCTAAGCATACAAAATTTTAGGAAAAGAAATTCAAATGATAATTGATTTTGTAAAAATGATTTTTAGCTTTTTCCAGTGATTTTCATAAAATTAAAAATGATTAAAAATGATTAATATTTCTTAAACAATAAATATTTAGAGAGATAATTAAAAACTAGAGAAACAAAAATGTTAGAGATAGAAATTTTAGAAAGTGAGAGATAAAAATTTTAAATTGAGAAATAACATGAAAAAAAAAAGACAAAGAACAAATTTAGAAAAGAGAGAAAAGTTATCAAAATTTAAGGTGAAAACGAGATGGATGGAAATATAATCTTGAAAATTAAAACTATAACCATTTTAAAAACTAATCTTTTATTAATTTGTTTTTAGGTATAGTTGTCAAACATTCTAAAATAGAAATGATTTTAAGGCGACAAAAGCACTTTTACTCACCAGGATCAAGGCTTTGATGGTTGATCGATCAATCTGGTATTCATTATTTTGAGAACTCATGAGACCCAACAAAACATCAACGAAATCCTTGGTCTTATTTTCATCTTTACACACCAGATGTTCCTCCACAATCCTCTCTAAGAACCCATCAAACATTTTCCCAACAGATTTCGCACGACGGTTCAGTCCTTGAAGGTCAAGCCCCGCAACCCAAGGAATCAAATCCCCCAAATTAGGAGTCGCCACCAATTGCACCACCTCTTGTACGGCGGCCTCAAAAGCCCTCGCTTCCAACGCACTCTCATCATATTTCTTCCCGAACACCATCAGACACGTCATGTCCCTAACAACACAATAAATCTTAGAGCTAAGATTCACGACAACATGTTTCTCCGCAGCCTCTTTAAGAAAGTCAACCAACAATCCAAGCTCCTCCCTTCTCATGGATCTAAAAGAGCCCACTTTTTGAGTGCTAAGCAGCTCGAGAGTGCACATTTTTCGCATGCTGCGCCAATAAGGGCCCTGCGGAGAGAACCCGAAATTCTTGGAACCGTAAAACATGTGTTTGGTAACCTGGGTGCGTGGGCGGCTGGCGAAGACATGGTCGTAAGTTTTGAGAAACAGCTCGGCCGCGTCGGCAGAAGAGACAATAATGGTGGGGATAAGGCCCAGTCGCATGTGCATTATGGGTCCATATTTTCGAGATAGGCGATGCAGATCTCTGTGTGGAAGCTTTCCCAATAAATGGAGGCTGCCAAAAATTGGGAACCCTTTTGGACCAGGTGGCAATTTCTTGTGCCGGTTGTGGCCAATTCTGGACAGCCATGTCACAGCAAGTACTGGAACCAGTGTAATAATGAGTGTCCAAATCCAAAGCGAAGCCATTGCGGTGGAAATATGGAGAAGGAAAGTTCTTGGGGGTTTACTTGAACTTGAACTTGATGATGAATTTGTGGAAGATAATGAAACTGGAAATTGGAACAGATCTGATAACGTGCCGCGCTGGCCGCTGATATCTGTTTTCCCGAGAGAAGAAAAGACAAAAAGAAATTTAAAACACATGTTAGTGATAGTATTTTTATAACAAGAAAAATTAGTTTAAAAGCCTATTTTTGGCATTTGAAGTAGATGATGTTTAGGTGGATAATAATTTWAAGGGAAAGTATTTTTTAACTAAATATAAATCAAATCGTACCTAATCCTTTTGATAAGTTTGGTTCTTGATTAATCCTCGATTTTATTCTAATGTATTAAAAATTTTAAATTATTAGTGGTTGATTGATTTTTATTTTTCTAGAACAATTAAATAATCTTCTCACACCTTAATAAACTAATGAATTATGTTTATGTTAGCTCAATCCATAGTGATTTTTTTTTTTACAATATATAAGGTAGGAGATCACAATCTCTTAATTCGAGATATATGTCAATTATAATTTAACTACGTGAACAACTGCGGTGGATGGGTCGTGGGTTGAAAGCAAAATGAAAATAATTAGATGAAAGGTAAGGCGGTAGGTGAGGGAGAGGGAGTGGGAGTTTGGTGTGGTTGTGACTTGTGGGTAAGTTTGCCAAAAATGGGAGGAAAGAGAAAGGTATAAGCCAAATAACCTCTAATATTAGCTTTTTATGTATTTGTCAAAAAAAGAAAAACCATTTTATGTAATTTTTTTATTTGGTTTGTAATTTCTAGGAGTTCTCAATTTTATCTTGTATACAAAATTTTCTATTAGAACTTTTTTTTTTCTTGTATACACATCAGCTTTCTTTAAATAAATTATTCAACATCTTTTGAGAAAACAAAAAGGGTTCTTACACCTTCTGGTTGGGGAAATCTGAGATGGAGAAAATATAAATTAAAAAAATGAAGAAATTAAAACCTTACCTGTAAATGAAGGCAAGCACAGTTGAAGAGAGAAGAGAGGTTTGGAAGACAAATGTGATGGGTTCAAAGGTGGGTGTCGTGTCATGAAGAAGATAAGATTTTATCTTGGATTGTATCCACCCATGTTTGATTGGCATTAGAGTTGAATATTTGGTTGTAATGAGTATTATAAAGTGATTTAGAAAATGGAAGTTATGTGGTAGAAATTAAATTAGAATAACATAATAAGTGTGTTAATGTGGAGAAAGATARCCCACTTAGAAAGTCAAGATTTTTTAATATTATAAAAAATATAATTAATTATTAAAATATAACCMGGTGTAAACTATTTTTTTAATATTATTATTTTAATTGCGTCACTTAAAAAAATAGATAAAGTTGTCTATTGAAGAGACCAACTTATCCAACGTATTAACGAGTCGTGTCAAGACATGCTGGTTTTTTCTTCTTCTTTTTATTTTCAAATATTGGAGATGTGGTCTCTTCTTACCCTTTTTTTTCAGTTTTTTTATTTTGAGAAGGGACCTTTTTTTATATTGTTTAAAAATTTAATCATTTTCAAAATAAATTATAAACTTATCCATTTTCCAATTATTTTTGTAAATAAATTTTTTTAATTAATTACGAAAGACTCYAAGYAAGATACTTTGGTTTTGTTTTCTCATCAGACTCCCTTGGAATGTGTCATTTTTTTGGATTCACCCATGCCCCATATTTTTGGGGAGGAAGCTCTATTCATGCCCATTACTAAATGTACTTTGTTATATATGGTGTAACTATATCGCTTTGTTTATGACTATCGTATGTTGTTACCACTTGATTTGAGTATAGATTTAGTTGTGTTTTTGGATCCAATAYGATATTCTTCAATTGTTATAAGTGTTATAAGTGTTGGTTTTTTTGGCTCTTAATATCGAATTAATTCATTTTAATTAGTTAATTAATATTTTGATTATCATAAACTTAATTTTGTTTATTGAAAATGTTGATATTTTAAAGCATTCACAACACAGGGCTCCTTACAACAATTTCGACATTTTTTGAATATTCAAATAAGAATTGAAACGGAAAAAATAAGAAGATTACGTGGTGGATGAATCAACTAAGAAGACCAATAAAATTGTGACATGTGGCTAGTTGGATTAGAGGAAACAGAA